AACAGCTATTGTGAGCGAGAAACAGTGCACTTTTTCATTTTAACCATTCTCCCTGAGACTGAGTGACCACTTTACTAACAAAACAAGTGCCTAAAAACAAAAAAGATACACGGCAAGGACCAGTTTTCGTAAGAAGTGCAGTGCTAAAGCTTAGGAAAAAGTAGTTTATTAACTTCTGTCACCTTCACTCCGTAAACAGGTGTAATATTACAAGTATATTACGTATGTTACAAATACATTAATTAATGAATTGCGGTCGAGCGTTGACCTGAGCGAATTTTAGTTAAAATTGACCTCTCAGATTTGTCGTAACTACTGAACTATGTCATCCAGTAGTTTAAAGATTTAATTACTGTCTACTTACAAGGATGCCTTTAATTAACAAAAAAAAACTTTGAAGTTTGTCTCATTTTTCACTAGTGTTCATATGAAGTTCATATAACAAAGGACAAAAGCATTATTTGAAAGCACAGGCAGAAAATCAAAATAGCAATCGTCTTACTTTCTCTGCATGAGTAAACCTTCTTAGGACAATAATAATTAATGATTAATTTACATATTATTTGTTTATGCACAACACATACAAGTATAATATAGAGGTATATATATATTCTATCATGTACTCGATAGAAATGGAAACCGAGTTATATAAGGCAGGGTATACATTACGTAACTTCAGTATCCAGGTCGATATTCGAGTTCCCAGTGACCTAGACGTCTAGATAGTCTTACGTCGGAGACAGGCAGGCGTCTGGTACCACAGCAGCAAAGACAACCTTACAATCGCCAGCATAAGGTTTGAAATCAAATACAGATGATTTGTTTTTATGGGTCAACTTTTGCGGATACGAAGTGGACCAGAAAATGTCTGGAGATCGTTAAGCACAGAAGTTATATGATATTCTTGGTTTGTGAATTTTAGTGGGATAGGTTGTGACTGATGGATCAGTCTGCATAATTTTGTACGAGTTCTTCGCTAGCGAAACTTTTTATGTAATATTATATTATTTACGCTTAGTTTTTAGAGAGAGTAGAAAGGGCAATAAGTGACATATTGAGTATTGACAGCATCACACAATATATGTATATTTACGGTGCGTCAAAAGGATAAGCAGAGCTGGCTTGTAAAGTTAAAATAAATAACTACACGAAATTAATAATAAGCCTACCCAGCAGGTGTACGTATTAGAAAATCCTGTAAAGCTAATTTTCTTTTCACTGCCTTTTACAACTTATGGTATTGCGCCAAATCAAAACACGAATAGAGTAATTTGTATATCATTATCATAATTACCTACACCTACGTAATATATAATCAACTTTCTTTAGCAAAGAGAAACAATCGAGGCCTATGTCCAAAGAACCTGGCACTACTTAAGCCTCGGCTTTTATCCTATAGCACGGAATATACAGGGCTCTAGAGTACTAGACTGCCAACCAAGAGGGGGTCATTGACAGTATGAATAGTCTCCAAAACTATTTCACATCGGTCCAGAATGTGTTAAATTCGTTCAGCACTTTATTTAATTATTTTTTTGAGGTCTGTATATCATCTCTTCAGTTCTCCCGGTTAGGTGAGAGGGAGGTAAGACTTTTACTGACTAAAAACCACTCCGTTCTTACTCCTGCTCTTCGAGCCAGACCCTCAGCAATCGGATATCAGCACTACTGGGCCCCATCTGTGGTGGTCTGATGGTTCTTTGAGGCGCACGCCGAACGCGACGCGCCGTACTCTCGGGTCTGGTTCCAAGCTACTCTTGCTCACCGTCCACAGACCCGCACTTACGGTGGCCGGAGATCGTCGAGAGAAATTCGTTCAGCACTGGAAAGCTTCTTTTCAGGTAATATCACGGGATATCTTTATATTCTTCCTAGATCAGAACCTACTCGAGGGAAATCTCCTAGATCGACTAAGGCCGGAAACAAGCTAATAACTCATACATTATATTATGTAGCAATGTTATTGTACATATTCCTAAATGCCAAGGTCATTGATATTTATTAAACCATAAACAATAAGTACCGTCATAAAATAGCGACATATTTCTTACGGTAGTAGTTTATACGATACGGAGTAGGTAAGTGTTTTATTACATAGGTAATAAACCTCAATTTTGAATAACAACTTAAGTTAACCAGGTATATATATATATGTATAGAATTAGATGAATAAAGTACTCAGATGAAAATTAACTTTTCAGGCTGTGTTTTGGATAACGGAATCTTAATCTTACTAGTTGAGTGACCTTTACTTTAGCTGTTAAATAAAGAGCTCTCGAATTGGATTTCCTGTTCAGGCCAACTATAATTCTTATTTCTAAATGAAATCTACTGCTCGGCAGTGTAGTTGATGCTTCGATCAACAATAACAACTAGATAAAGGGTTACGTACAAAATCAAGCTCCAGTTCTGTCCGTGTGAATAATAATAGTAAAAAAATAACAAACAAAGAAAAATGTTTTAAAATAGTTTTAAGTTCAACCTAATAACAACCATGGCACCTAATAATATAGTCATAAATCATCAAAATATTATCTAATACTTACGACCATTCGTCACATAAGACAAGAAAAGTATTTTCGTACTCCTGTCATGTGGAAATTAAAAGACATAAGTTATACAATATTTAGTTTGAATGCAACCTTAAGCTCGAACAAATAAAGATAATTTTTCCATTATTGTCTTGCGATCTATATCGTTTTGTTTTGTTACGTTTTGCTTCTTCAAATTTCGAATTTCGCTACAGGAGGTATGTATGGAGTCGCGTTGGACACTAAAATAATTTTATAATAATATGAAAATTAAGATTTCGGGATCTTAGTATACATCACTAATTTTTATTAGCGGTACGTTTTTGTGTATGATATGTTTATTTACTTTATTATTAAAAGTCTAAGTCTAAGTCAAAATCATTTATTTCAGTTAGACCAGGAAGGCACTTTTGAACGTCAACAATATAAATTTAAAAGTGAAGCTATTTGCTCATTCCAAGGTGTAGATTCCTATGGAGAAGAACGAGCAAGAAACAATACAATTTTATTTTTCAATACAAATCGACTCGATGCATCCACTGTTGTGTTTAAACAAATGTTGGCGAGGCTTGGCCAAGGAATCGCCAACACACGCACAAACATTGGTGGCGTTGGTTTATAATTGATAATTTTGTCTAATTTGATATTATTTACTAGTTTAAAAGCTTAAAATATAACTTATACTTTATGTACTTATCAAAAGTAAGACACTCCAGCCGTTATACTGCTTTTTCGGTTGTTATTTTTGCAACTTGCAAAAATAATGCACAGCGGCATCGTGAGACGTGAGTACGTTGGCCGTGTTTGGAGCATACTAAACAAAATAAGAGCTCACTTCTCAAGTGAGCTCTTATTTGTCGAGACGATTTTCTTGCGCCGACCCGATATCTAGTTGTTATTGTTGATCGAAGAGTTGATGTCATAATATAAAATTATTATATTTCTTATTTATATTTATACGCTAGCCTCCAGTAGTAAACACGATCAATCTACCACAATAGCTACATCAAAACCTCATCAATCACGTCTCAATAAAAGTCTAGTACAAATAGAGGATCCGGGACGCCAATATTTCTCATGTGACATTGTACATATTATGTCTTCATACATGTCTTCAAAATACTTGGTTAACCTTTAGAGAGGATTAATATAAGATTAACACGTTAAACGCCATGGGGGTCACCGGTGACCGATATTAGCGGAGGATTTACCTTCAACAGTTTTTTCTTGGCAGTAAAAGTCTTAAAGAATAAATTGAGGGCAGTAAATTGCCATTTTGAGGTAACAAGTCCAAGTAAAAGGTTTTGTTTCAATTAATGGACATGGTGACACTTTTGGAAAGCATGTCAGCCAAATACGCTTGTTCCAAAATGTAGTTGTTTGAAGAAGAATGATCAAGAACTTCTACGTAACTTAGCCGAACTCCTCTATATGAATAGACTTGAAATTATGTAAAAGAATTCAGATGTCATTCTTACAACAAATACTGTAAAATTGTGATCATATTATCGCCTAAAAAACCCCACGTGCTATCATGAGGCCCATAAAGTACGCAACCGTACTATTGTGTAGTTTGTGTACTGATATATGTTACGAAACTAGAACGACACACACCATACATAGTATGAAATAAGTTAAGGTACCATAACTATATTGTTCTTACCTTAGTGATGCAACGAGTATCGTAGAATAAGCTTTGAATTTACGCAATAAAGTGAGTTTATTGAATATTTTATTGGTAATAGAAAATCCTATTCGTATTTGTAATATCTGACAGTTAAATGGCCATAGAAGAAAATTAAAATTTTAAATAAATCTATCAAGCAATTAAAGTAGAGTCAATAAGACTAATACTATTTAATTTAAAATATAATAATGTTTTACTTTAAATGAACATGTGAACTACGATGTATTTATAAAAAAAATACTATAAAAACGGTGTATTTATAAACAAATTGAAAGAAGACAGATTATTTACATGACCACGACTATCAATATTTAAACCCATCATCGCCTGCCATATTTTAACAGCAAAGTGTAGCAACTACTACGTGCTCTCAGCTTTTTACAAGGCGCTAAAATTTTTATGGGTACGAATGACATTAACACATTCTTCTGAGTTGTAAATTCACAAATATCGATATTACTGATACAGTAACAAATACTAGAACACAAAAAGGGATAATTGATTGTTTTTGTATGATAATTACTAAATAACTTCGTAGTTTTGACTTGTTTTGTTCGAGTTCTGGCATATGATTTGGGCTTGAACATAGTAAAGGATCTGGAACAGATTGTTGGGTTAGGAGCTAGGATGAAGCAAGGACAAAAGCATAGGACAAAGGGATGATATACCTACATTAAAGGGATTTAAAAACATAAAATACGTTTCTTGAGATGAATAACAGTGCCAATGTGAAAGTTCATAGTTGGACCTATAAACCTGAAGCACATAAAGATGGTACTTACATAATCTTCTGGAGTAAGGAGTGGGTCGGAGTTGCCTCCCGACTTGGATGGACGCGAGGAGTTTCTCTCTTGGTGTTACTTCTCGGCGGGGTGGCGGCAACTTGCGATCTGACGCCTGATAATAATATATTTTTATGTTATTAATGTGGTAATAAAAATCTATTATTAACATTTTAAATTACAATTTTGTGCAAGCAGGTAGGATAAGTATGAAAGAATAATTTTCTTACCTTTTTGAGTGGAGGTCGACTTCTAATGAACTCAAGTATCATTGCATGAGCGTCTTTCTTTACACTGTAAATAAATCAAAGTTTTAATCACATGAAGAAGATCCTTAATTAAAATAAACAAGTACATTTGTCTTTATCATTTGTTAAGACTATGATTCGATTAAGTAGGTATGTATTTTTACTGTATTATTACAGCGTACCTTGCCAAGTTAGGTTGGAATGAAATAGATATGCAATAATCACAATCATTAAAATTAATTTGTCAGATAAACTATCGGTAAAACATAAAAAAAATCATCAAAATTGGTCCTTACCTTGGAGGTATCGCGCCGTCAACTTTCCTAAGCGTGTACCTCCTGGACCTAATGTCGTCCATTAATATTTCGTACGGCGTTAACTCGTACTCTATTGGTGTCCTTGAATAATTTACTTTCTTTAATTTTACACCCATCCGTAACTCTCCGATGACTTGCATCCAAAACCGCGCCTGAAAAATTTTAAATGCAATTAGTTGTGTGCCGCGTTCTTGCTATGAGAGTTTCTGCAGGCGTTTATTTTACTCCGTTTGCTAGAAGCTTTTGAATTCATAATTATTATTATGTAATTTAGATTTAACGGGTTTCTAATTAAATTAATGAGAGTTTTTGAAATAATTTGGTTAATAATTTGTAGTGGTATAAAATTAGGAATTACCAATATATAATAGATAGGTATTTCAATTAAATATTCGCTTGCAAGGAAGCCTTGACATGCAAAACATTAACTTATAACCTATGGGTATGTAGTTAAATTGAAATGGTGTTCTATGCGACATCTATTTAAGCATGCATTCTAGGTATATCTATCATTGACTACACCTCACAATAATTTTACAAGGACAAATATTAGGTATTTACAAATTATAAGCAAATAGGTAACTTTACGATCAGTCTTCCTTTCTACGTACTTGTAATGCTCTCCAAATCCTTCGGTTTGACTACAATTAGAAATAACAACGAGTTACAAATATGTCACAGAGTTAGTTATACGTAAATGTTAGTTAACAATAGGAGATGGTTAGATTATGCAAGTAAATAAAAGCATTAGTTGTTTGTTTTCATTCTGATCGATTTTAAGTGAAATTATTGAATGAAGTAACTATGTACAGTAGGTTAACAAAGCATGTAAGTAGATATATGTAGATTTTTTAAACCCTTAGGAGTAAGAGTTTTGAGTGAAGTTTCATAAGTGCCATAAAGTTTGATTTTAATCTATCATTACTAAACATTTTAATATTATTGAGAAATAGATCTATTGTCGAATAACAACGGTCCCTATTTCACCACCACAATACATAGAACATGGCATCATCAGAATCTGATTTGTCTCTGAATAGCTCCAGTTTTCACGCAGTTAGAGATAGCGACTAAAAAGTAGGCATAAATACCTTGCATATATTATGTACAAGAATTCTCATTACTAGGCTTGAGCGCCATAAATATTTACGCGTATACTAAGCTGTGGGCATATTGTTAAGAGCGGCGCGTTTAGCGATTTTTACGCACTAAATTTGTAGGCCTAAAAAAGACTCATTCTTCAATGAGAAAGTAATTTATTAGGTTAGCACTTTAATAAATGTTTAGACATTTAAAAACTTTCTATCGACTTAAGTCGTCTTATAATCATTATTTTTTTCTATGATTTCCTCGTGTTGCTTATACAACCCAATACTATCCTGTAGCGAATTACTTGAGAATACCTAGTAACATTAATAATGCATCGCGGTTGCATTACAGAACGCACAACAATCTGCATGCCTTTCTTTGGGAATTCGTTCGCGATAATAATAGTTTAGCGAATTAGACCTAATACCCTGTGTTGGTGGTCTCTAGTCTAGTCATGGCAGCCTAAATTGTATGTATTTTTAGTAATATTTTCGAATGGATAGATTTATATCGTTTATACTATCGGTCTATTGGTATATTTGTCAACACTTACTTTTTCGTTTTCCTAAAATTAATTTTAATTTTTTCTCATCCTTCTCAGTGCTACATCAAACAAATCCAAAGAACTCATGTTAAACTGACACCATGGAAACTGCATTATTAGTCTGAGGATATATTAGTAAACTTCTATAGGTCATCAATGCTATTTATTCTAAGGTCTCACCCAGTCTGAAAACCGTAGCGTGTCGAGATGCGCGGCGGAGTCCTCAGCGGCTCCCATGTCCCTTGCTCCTCCGACTCGAACCCTCGCGAGGAAGGAGGCCAGTTCCAGCGCTTCAGCGACGAGGGCGCGACATACAGCGCGGTAGTGCGCTGCAGCGGCTTCGCGGGCACAGCGCCCGCCGCCGCCACAGTGCCAGACGCAGCGCTGAAAAAGAAAAATTAGATAGATACTTAAACAGGTGCATTTTCATATACCTAGGCATTAAAAACATATTCAGAAATAATAACGTAAGGTAATGATAAATTAATCTGGTGTTTGGTTAAGGACGAGTTGACAAAATATATTATTAGATTAAATATAATTAAACATGGTTAATACAACTGACGAAAGTCAGGCATGTTACCTAAGTATAGTAAGATAACCTCTTCCCCTTTGGGGAATAACAAATATGACGTTATACGGATTTTCCATCTTGAAATGTGGTCATAGAACTAAAACGTAAAATAATGACATCAGTATGATTAATATTTTAATTTTGCACGATAATGCTAGCTGTCCATACCTATATTATTAAGATAAAGAAGAGATTATTTTTATTAGTTAAGTGTTATCTAATCAGTTTATTATTTCGCATTTTATTTCTATGCACTGTAGACTGTTGGACGCCAATAGGAATAACTTTGGATGTCAAATAGGTATTGCTCGTCTATCTTTATATCATGATGATCCACCAGTAGCACTTTGAGAAGGCTGTGCAAAAGTTAAATTTCCACAGCCAGCTACGGAATAAGACATCCCTGCATCATAATCTTCAGGACTATCGAAAAGTATACTTGGAAACCATTAAAACTACAAAGAACTGCAAAAATGACCATTAAAAAGGTCTAGCCCACACACAAACAGTAGACTCGCATATTTTGCTAACGAAATGTGCATATAAATTATTGTGGCAATCAAACGTTCGGTACTTAATTGACGTATAGGATCCAATGATGGATTACCTGACGAATGGAGCCTCCTACATCAAGATGCGTTTGACCGAAACGCACTGACAATCTTGAAGAAGCTAGGTTTAATACGGAAGATACCTTCAAAAGGTGTCAAGCGAGAAAAAGAACAGGAAGTATGAGATTTTAGCCTTATTGAAACCACCCCGATGCCTACTATTATCATCTATAAGGAGTATCAGATGCGCATACAGACCTACTCGAAATTTTAAGTACCGCTAGGAGCAAAAACAAAACTACGTTGACTAGAAAGAACAGTGGATAAAATTGAACAAAAATATCGGAGAATGCTAGTATTAAATTCTTTAATAGATTAACAGGTGTGATCTTATAATATCATTTCGAAGCGCAATATTTACTTATCGTACATGACTAGATAGTTAAATATTAGTTGGGATAACTGTTGAGTGCCGTCGCTCATAGATAATGTGCGCACGTTCCCGTGCAAGCTGTTCTGAATGGACGACGCCCTCCATGAACGCTTGTGTTTGCAAATGGAGTCGTGTGAATGTAGTTTAGTTACTGGTCTATGTATACTTGCATATTTTAAGTATGTGTATAAAATATAATACAACGGCTCCAAAGATTAGATTCTATGCTACATATTTCTAAAGACAAGTAACATACATCATAACATCTCGCCTTTTATCCCCGAAGGGGTAAGCAGAGGTGGGCATTATGCCATTGTACAATGTAACACCCACTTTTCACTATTTATGTTATGAGTCCCATGTAATATAGAGGGTGAGCCTATTGCCATATACCGGGCACAATTCCAGACTCCGTGCTATTACTAAGAATTAAAAAAAACCCCAATAATACTTTGCCCGACCTGGGAATCGAACCCGAAACCCCTTGCCAGGCAGTCAAAAGCAACACTTTGTAAAATATCGAACCCAAAAACCCCCTGTATGATCATTGGTCAGTTCAAACAAATGTAGTGACAACACCTTCCGAAAACCTATTAACATCACAAACTTATATTAATTTTCGCATGTTTTATGAGTAGTTATAGCCTATATGTCAATTATAATGGTATCAGATTGGGTCGACGCAATTCGACATTGCATATGGCAATGGTAATATACAGGCGTATAGAATTACGCACAAATTGTGAAGTGGGTCACATAGGCCTTTGGAGTTGTGAATGTATTCACAACAAAGTCAAAGTCAAAGTCAAAGCATTTATTTCAATTAAACCATAGTTTGGTACTTTTGAAACGTCAACAAATACAAAATAAATAATAGTCTGTCAGTCAGTCCGTCAGTGAAGCTAGGTGAAGCTAGGTGCTCATTCCAAAACGTAGATTCGAATGGAGAAGAACGAGCAAGAAACTCCATTCGTTACTCTTTTAAAAAAAGTATGTTCTACAATGTCTCTGATACATATTTCAATACTGTACGCATATGTAAGAACAATGCAAAGACACGCTTGACGCATTATACTACTAACTTACTAAAATAAAAATAAAAATAATAAAGATCTTAAGTCCAACATGGTGCTCACATATGCATACTGACAATCCATAGAAATAGTGCTTCTATACAAGAAAAAGGAAACTCTTTGTTTCAATAAAGAAAGAAATGCTCGATGCCATAAGGAAACTAGATTGTCTACATTAGAATTAAAGTATTAAATTATGTATTATATTACCTACTATTGGAATTTAACTACTGACTACATTTGAGTATTGTCCAGTGGAGCCGAACCAACATGCTGCCAAGCATTCTTATCTTCAAGATAATCTGTCAGCGTGTAGTAAACTTGATTACATAATTCGCGCTTAATATATGTTTTAAATTTACTTTCATTGAGATCTAGTATGCTATGCTATTCAACTACGTGTAATTTCAATAAAGTTTGTGTATGACGATGGAACAAAATACATTTTTACCTCTCCTGCTCTTCCAACCAACAGGAAGCTGTTGGTATCGTAAAATCCGACTAAGGAACTACACTTCTGAAATTGAACTTTTTAAACTGCGAACATGCCTGCCAAATGTGGAGACCATTATGACAACCCCTCTTATGTAGAGAGGGGTTGAAAATTTCGAAATTCGAGGAGCACAATACATATGGGTGGGAGAGCCATTTGTCGGCACGAATGGGCCGGGGCGTGGCCTCGACCGGAGTGATACCACGGCCGAGCAGAAAACCGACGTGAAACAACGCTTGCGAGGCCCAATTGCCCCCCCCCCGCTCCCTTCTCCAATCCCTGAATCCCCAACAACCTTTAAAGTCTAATCCCAAAAGGCTGGTTACGCACTTGTAACGCCTCTGATGTTCCAGGTATCCATGAGCGACGCTGGTTGCTTACCAGCACATGATCCGTTTACCTACTCGTTTACCGGCTTATACCATAAAAAAGCACAAGTAACAAGTTTCAATGAAAATGAAATCCGGATACCAATTACTACTCATCACTTTATGAAGTAGGTAGGTAATATACATCTAGATATTGTATTAGAAACAACTTAACACTACTCGAGACTACAGTATCAAGTCGTCAGTAAGTCAAATTTACCGTCCTTTGTCCACCAACATGATTCAACATGTCAAGGGCGCTAGGGGCAATGGGGGCAAACACGACCACTTTCGCAAGACGCCTTTGTCCGGGCACCGAACCAACGACAAGATAATAACGAGCCAAAAGACAGACAGACACCCACATTACTATTATTATAGTAACGTCACCTCGAATCTATAAATCTTGAGTAAACAATGAATTATTGTACAGAATACGAATGATCAGGATCTAACTGGAGGATTATGATACAGATTAACAGATATATAGTAATCTAATCACCGAACTTTTTATTCCTTTAAGGTGTAAAGGCACTTATTTATAAGATGTGTGGGAGAGCCATGCTTCGGCACGAATAGGCCGGCTCGACCGGAGTGATACCACGGCTGCACAGAAACCCGACGTGAACCAACGCTTGCGTTGTGTTTCGTCGTGTGAGTGAGGTTACCGGAGGCCCAATTTCCCTCCCCTTCCCCATTCTCCCCAATTCCTGAATCCCCAACGATCCTCAAACCCCTAATCCCCAAAAGGCCGGTAACGCACTTGTAACGCCTGTGGTGTTCCAGGTGTCCAATGGGCGACGCCGATTGCTTACCATCAGGTGATCTTTCTGCTCGTTTACCGGCTTATGCCACAAAAAAAGATAGGTAATGCAAGTTAGGTGATAATGCAAAAGGAAACAATCCTATAGCTCTATACATACATCATTGCCACCATCATACGTCATTTACATTACACGAAACCCTCGAAGCTGACAACAGAGGCGTTAGTACGAGTTTATTTTACGTTTAAAGTGATCGCAACGAGTACGCGTTCGGCGCTGTGATTGGTTGCTTCATTGGTGCCGGCCAATCAGAGTGCCGAACACATACTCGTTTCGAATATGTACTTAAAACGTAAATGAAACTCGTACTAAGGTCTTAGGTCCAAGTTATAATATATTGTAGTTTTTTGCTTGTAGTAATGCAAAATTCATAATTTACATACCAATTTATTTGTTTTCTCGTATTGCTAAGATATCTAAATGTAAGTAATTAATTTATTAATACAAATATGTAAGGTGCGATAGCAATCAAGACTGTTTCGTCACGTAATCCCTGCCAATGACATTTAATCCTCCACGAGTGTAGATTATTGAAGAATTTCATATTTTTAGAACAACGAACCTATCACTCTAAACTATCGTGCATTCTTAGCCGTTGTAAATAAAATGTACCTAATATTAAAAGTTAATCAATGAAATGTATGTACAATTGTAAATATATTAAGTACTACTTTACATGTTTGTGAATCATTCTTTCTCATGGTCTTTCCTTAACTGAAGTCAGTTCCTCTGAAATGTTTCATGAATATAAATATGAAAACATAACATCACGTTTTATCCCCGAAGGGGTAGGCAGAGGTGCACAGTATGCCACTGTACAATGTAACACAGTAACACCCACTTTTCACTATTTAGGTTATGAGTTCAATGTAATAGGGGGTGAGCCTATTGCCATATACCGGGCACAATTCCAGACTCCGTGCTACTACTAAGAATAAAAAAAACCGGGAATATTTTGCTGACCCGGAAATCGAACTCTAGACCCTTTGCCCCGGCAGTCACACTTACGACCACTCAGCCAACGAGGCAGGCAGTAAATATGAATACATTGTTTTATAGCTCCCATCC